ATCAAAGTCTTCTTGACTCTTGAATTAGCCAAATGATTTCTTCAATTACCCGTGCACCCTGATTTTCAAAACTAACTGCCTTTTCCACCCCTCTGAACACTGGAAATTCACACGAATGCTCTTCGGCCTAAGAAACTCCCCATTGACCTTTATACGATCAATGTCCCTTGTCATGAGTGGTAATGTTGGCAATGATGTACTCATTTACCTTGATGACCTATCAGTGATGTCATAAGATGTTGCCGAGAATGAAGTAAAGCTCCAGAAGATTTCTAGTAAACTAAAAGAAGCTGGACTGACCATTAACCAACAGAAATACCGTTTTTTGCCTCTTCCCTTGAATTTCTTGGTCAAACCGTAACTTCAGCAGGAATCTTCCCTAATGATGACAAGGTAAAGAGTATAAGCAACTTCCTTGTCCCTAAGAATCAACATCAGATTAAGATCTTTTTAGGTTTAGCAGGTTTTTACAGACCCTTCATACACCATTTTGTCCATTGTAAGCCCCCTTTCCTGGCTACTTAAAAAAAATTAAATCTAAGTTAACTAAGTTGCCAGTGTTGGCATTTCTAGATTTTTCCAAACCTTTCATTCTAGCAACTGACGCCTCTAATGCCGGCATTGGCTCTGCACTTATGCAAGAATTGAAGGGGATGCCAAAGCCCATTGCTTTTGCAAGTCGGGTCTTAAATATTGCCGAAAATCGTTATTCGACATCTGACAAGGAATTGCTAAGCATTATAGTCACTCAAACATTTTCGAGCATTAATTCTAGGCTATGATATAGAAGAAGAGACTAGCAGCCACTGACCCATACCATGTCCTTTTATTGTGTATACCCCTGGCCCTTGCAATAAGGTTGCAGACGCCTTATCTCGAGCACCTGTGTTCTCTGATAACTGCCCAATACTGGATGCTTTAGATATTAATGACATAAAAGAAAAGCAAAGAAATGATAGCTTGTATAAGAACATCACCAAGAGACTAGAAGCAAACTCTAGCTAACTAGAGGAAACGAAAGCGGATAGAGGTTACATATAGACAGCTTGTAGAGTGCCTCACCCTTAGATATTCCCACGAGTCATTAGAAGCAGCTCACGTTGGCGTTTCCAAAGCCGATCAGCATGCTAGATTAAGATTCTGTTTCCCTAGGTCAAACGACACATTAAGAGTTGTCAAGCCTGCCCATTTCACAAGGGTTTAACCCATGAGCCTGCCCCTGAATTGTTGTATGATATCCCTGACTTCCCCTTCCAGAAGGTATCTTGCAATACCCTATCAGGATTTATAAAATTGCAAACCTTAGTAGATACTGTGAACTTGTTCCTTTGCCAGACAAGTCGGACTAAGTTAGCCTTTAACTTCGATGGGCCCTATAGTGTACTACGATGTCGCAATAAAAGGCACTTTGTAGGAGCTTAAAGGATGAGTTGCAGACACGGCTCCACTATAACCGACTGGAGATTGCTAATAAGTACTTTGCGGTTCTCTGGTAGCAGTGCATCACCCTTACTCCAAGTCCTCTATGCTTGCAGATCAGCAGAGAGCTTCTCACTCGCATCCTGAATGCCACAATAGATGACTTGATTAAATTCACTACCAACAATCATTCACGCCCTCACTGTGGTCTTATAAACGAAAATAGAGACATTACACATGCAATTTATGGTGTCGTCGATGAGAACACCCCTAACAGCCATCTTGCTGAATATAAATCATCCCTCCATTACGTTATTACAAGATCTAACTGCTCGGTTCATGAATTTGATTACATTAGTAAAAACATTATGTCACTCTCCATCTTATGCTCTAGTATCCTTATCAAAGGATATCACTAACGTGCAAAGATTCACCCACTTCGGTATTAACGTATTTTCTTATCAGTTAGCTATTCGTAATTTCATGAGTGGTGTAAAGCGCTTCAGTGCAGACCTACTAATGGCCTCCCTGAGGTGAGGTCCAGGTTTAATATCCCCACATGATATGCATAACTTCATAAGCAGGGTCACCTCTATGTGACCTTTCTAACCTTGGAGACACAATACCCTTTTACACCCATCTCGTTCTTACTTGACACCATGTGGCCTGCCCGTCCTTATATCCCTCCTACCCTTAAACACATTTCAAACATACCGTATACACCACTTTCCTCACTTTGCTAACAATACCCCATGTGT